AAAACAATTTAGACTTTTTGGCACATAAATAGAAATGTGGACTTAAATGTCTATCTGCAAAATGCATGCAAAAATCCCGCAGATATCTGCAGATTGTTTATACTGTTATTATGTTTATTACATAACTATTAGTGTTATTATTATATATATTTTTACATATATTCCTTTTATATACATTATTATTATATTTATTATCATTATATTATGTATATAAACTTTATGCTATATTATCATTATATTATATATATAAACTTCACATTATCATTATATTTATATAAACTCTATACTATATTATCATTACATTATATATATAAGTTTTAAACTATATATTATTATATTATACATATATACGTTTTATACTATATTATCAATATATTATATATATATGTTTTATATTATTATATCATATATATATAAGTTTTAAACTATATATTATTACATTATATACATATAAGTTTTAAATTACTATAGACTTTTGTTTTCTATCAAAGCGCTGCAGCCACAAAGACAAAAAGCACATTTAAAAAGTATTATTTAAATTGTTTTTTGTTTTTTCACAAATGACATTTTTGCGACATTTTTATATTTTGTTTTATAGTGTATATACACATCTCTTTATACAATACTCACATCTATATAATATATATATATATGTATAAGTATATATATATATATATATATTCATATATAGTTTTATATATTTATAATATATATATTATAATAATACTTATAATGATATTATTTAAGGATAGTTTTAGGTAACATCATTATAAGTAAATAATAATAATACTACTTAATAATGATATTATATAGGAATATATATATATATATATATATGTATTCTTACATAATATCATTAATAAATATTATTATTATTTACTTATAATGACATTATCTAAATACATATACATATATATATATATGTTCATATATAATATAATTGAATTTAATCTATTTGGTTTAAAAGGCGCAGTTAGAATAAAAAAAGAACTCGAAAAGAAATAAATTTTCACTTTTGTTGAAAGTCCAAAAAGAAGAAAATGAATTTTATTTGTTTTTGGTTGCGTAGACACTTGAAGCGGGGAGTTCAGGTGTACGTACACCTGAAAAGTGGCATTTTTCTCTCCCTTTTGGGCGATTTGAAAGGCAAAAAGGTCTTTTTAATTCTCTCAATTTGAGTTAAAAGTCCAAAATGTCCTTTAATGCATTTAAAGTGGTTTATTTGTTTTATTTTTCTTTCCGAAATTCCCAAAATGCCTTTTCCCAAAACGCAGACAGCCGCGGCAGGTGTACATACACTCCAAACTGCTGCACTTTGCGACGCTCTGATGCATGCAGAATTATTAAAACTTTAAATGCATTTAATTCCATTATTTACAAATTAAAAACTTCAATTTAAATCACTTTATTCGTTTTACGTTCTTTTATTTCCTTTTGTTGTCTTCTATTCATTTGTACTGAGGTGTACAGACACCTCGTGCTCGCCAGGACTTCACTCAGAAAGAAATAAAAATAAAACAAAATTAGAACAAATAATAAAAACAAATAATTAAAACAAATAATAAAAACAAATAATAATAAAACTGAAAGAAATAACAATCTGGAAATGCAAAAAGAAATAATAAAATGCCCTTTTGCTGCTACACTGGCAGCGCATGCAGCAGAACTTATTACTAAAATGCGAAGAACTAAAAATAAAATAAATAAAAATAAACAAAAACAAATAGTTAAAACATTCAAAATGAAGTGATAAATAATGCAAGATGTCTTGATAGGTGCAGCAGCAGCAGCAGCTCAAGTGCTGCAGCAGCAGCAGCTCGAGCGCTGCAGCAGCAGCAACTCAATTGCCTTGTTGCGGTTCAGCTGTCTTTGCCGCTGATCTCGCTGCTGCAGCAGCAGCAGCAGCAGAATCCCAAATGTTTCTGCTGCTGCACCAGCTGCAACTGAAGTGTTTCTGCTGCTGCTGCTGCAGTTCAAGTGAGTCCCTGCTGCTGCAGCAGCCGCAGTTGAAGTGTACCTGCTGCTGCAGCAGCAGCAGCTCAAGTGAGTCCCTGCTGCTGCAGCAGCAGCAGTTGAAATGTAGCTGCTGCTGCAGCAGCAGCAGCTCAAGTGAGTCCCTGCTGCTGCAGCAGCAGCAGTTGCAGTGTAGCTGCTGCTGCAGCAGCAGCAGTTGAAGTGTAGCTGCTGCTGCAGCAGCAGCAGTTCAAGTGTAGCTGCTGCAGCAGCAGCAGCAGCTGAAGCGTGTGGGTGCTGCCGGCACAGCAGCGCCTGAACCGCGCCTGCTGCTGCTGCTGCACCCGCCGCAGCAGCACCGCCCCCGCTGCTGCAGCAGCAGCAGCAGCAGCAGCAGCAGCAGCAGCAGCAGGTCAAAGCCTGAGCAGCTCGCGCCACAAACTCCACTGCCGCGAGTACCTCGGAAAAGAACCCCTGAGGGCCACAACTTGGAGAACAGCAGCAAAAAGGTCTGCAGTGGTTTTGAACTTTTCTTTTATTTGATTTAAAGTTTGCTGCATTCCCGACAAACTTTTGTCTCCAAAAGCCATATAAACTAAAGTCCTTCCTGCTGCACTTGCTGCTATCCACTGCAGCAAAGTCTTCAGCTCGTTGTCCCCCCCAAATATCACGCAGCCCCTGAACAAACCCTAAACCCTAAACCCTAAACCCTAAACCCTAAACCCTAAACCCTAAACCCTAACCCCGGCCCGCTGCGCCGCTGGCGCCTCCCTGCCGCAGTGGCGCCCCCTGCTGCTGCTGCGCTGCTGCTGCTGCTGCTGCTGCTGCGCTGCTGCAGCTGGCGAGGGTTTAGGGTTTAGGGTTTAGGGTTTAGGGTTTACCACTTTCCGGTGGCGACGGGGGCCTTGGGCTCGCCAAGGAGGGCCTCGAAGGGGTCTCCCTGAAACCCTAAAAGGGCCTTTAAGACTTCTCTTTTCATTTTGTTTTCTTGAAACTGCGAATTAGGGTTTCGAACCATCAAAGCATCTATTGCTGCTACTGTTGCTGCTCTTCTTCCCAAACCATCCAAAGGACACAAACCATGCAAACTCCAGTGACTTCCCGCGGGAACTTCTGCTGCTCGCAGCTCAAATGTCTTCTCGTACCCTGCAGCAGCAGCAGCAGCAGCAGCAGCAGCAGCAGCAGCAGCAGCAGCAGCGGTTGTGGGGTGGGAGCAGCGGAGGAAGCGGGGAAGCAGCAGCAGCAGCAGCAGCAGCAGCAGCAGCAGCAGCAGCAGCGGGGGTGGCGGAACAGTAGTAGTTGTGGTAGTAGTAGCAGCAGAAGCAGCGGCAGCAGGAACATGAACAGCAGCAGCAGCAGCAGCAGCAGCAGCAGGAAGGGTTTAGGGTTTAGGGTTTAGGGTTTAGGGGGGGGTGAGAGTTCTGCTCATGGGATAAAAACAAAAAAGAAATAAAAAATAAAATGAAAAAGAAATAAACAAATGAAAGAAATTGAAAAAGGACGAAACAAAAAAGAAAGTAAAAAAAGATAAAATAATAAAAAAGAAATTAAAAAGAAATAAAAAAGATTAAAAGACAGAAATAAACCAAAGTGGTAATAGAGAGTTTGAAGAACACACCAAAACAGTAAAACAAATTAAAACAAATTAAAACAAATTAAAATAAATGGAAATAAATGAAAATAAACTAAAATAAAATAAATTAAAATAAATTAAAATAAATTGAAATAAATTAAAATAAAATAAATTAAATTAACTCAAGATAAAATAAAAATATTAAAAAGATTCGAGAGCAGGAGAAAAGAAACGGCAAACAAAAAAGAACAAAGAACGTTGCAAAGAATCAAAAATAAAACAAAATAAATAACAAACTAAATAAAACAAAATAAATAAAACAAAATAAACAAAACAAAATAAATAAAACGAAATTAGAAAAATATATAAAACAAAAAAAACCCAGAACAAATAAAACGAAATAAACACGACAAATAACTGAAATAAAATCAATAAACGACACAAACAAAACAAACAAACAAAACAAACAAACAAAACAAGTAAAACAAACAAACAAAAACAAAAACAAATAAAATAAAACAAATAAACTACCTTTATAAAGAGTAAAGGACTCCAAACAAAACAAACAAACAAACAAACAAACAAATAAAAATAAAAACAGATACACAAATAAAACAAGTAAATAAACAAACCTTTAGAAAGAGTAAAGGACTCCAAACAAACAAAACAAATAAATAAACAAACAAACAAATAAAACAATAAACAAACAAATAAAACAACAAAAAACAAACCTTCATAAAGAGTAAAGGACTCCAAACAAACAAACAAAGCAAACAAACAAACAAATAAAACAAACAAATAAACAAAACAAATAAAACAAACAAATAAAAGCAAACCTTTATAAAGAGTAAAGGACTCCAAACAAACAAAACAAAACAAATAAAAACAAATAAACAAATAAATAAAACAAATAAATAAAACAAATAAAAGCAAACCTTTATAAAGAGTAAAGGACTCCAAACAAACAAATAAATAAATAAACAAAACAAATAAAACAAATAAATAAAATAAATAAAATAAAAAAGCAAACCTTTATAAAGAGTAAAGGACTCCAAACAAACAAATAAATAAATAAATAAAACAAATAAAACAAATAAAATAAATAAAATAAAAAGCAAACCTTTATAAAGAGTGAAGGACTCCAAACAAACAAATAAACAAACAAAATAAATAAAAATAAAAGCAACTAAACAAATAAATAAACAAATAAATAAAATAAACAAATAAAATAAAAAAGCAAACCTTTATAAAGAGTGAAGGACTCCAAACAAACAAAACAAAACAAATAAAAACAAATAAAAATAAAAACAAATAAACAAATAAACAAATAAATAAAACAAACAAAAGCAAACCTTTATAAAGAGTAAAGGACTCCAAATAAATAAATAAACAAACAAAACAAATAAAACAAATAAAACAAATAAAATAAAAAAGCAAACCTTTATAAAGAGTGAAGGACTCCAAACAAACAAAA